TGGGATGTATAAGTTTTTATTATATAAGATATGGTATGAGAATGTATTAGATTTTTTTATTTTATAAATATAAAAATTTATACCTTGAACCATTTGGCCTCAATATCGCTCGTAGCTTTAACTAACAACAACCACATATTAATCATTAAGCAAAAGATCCAAAATCCAATACTTAATTCTATCAAATATAATGCGTAAGCTTGAGCGATGCAAATAGGTTCTAAATTAGCAGTGTCATCGAGAGCAATTAATGACATCGACGGAGAGGTTCCATTCCAAAATTCCGTATCGGTATTATTTGTAGAATAAGTATCATTATCAATAGTAATCGAGTCGTTTGTAATTGAGGTATTCTGAGGTGTTGATGTTATAGAACTTGGGTCGATAAAATAATATTGTAAAGCAACAGGTACACTTATTATACAATCAAATATCGTTGTTATACTAAGGCAAGCTATAGTATAATGTTTTCCCTTATGAAGAAATTGAAGACATAAAAACGATAAAGGTATGACATTAAAAATTTGAAATATTATCCATGTTTCAACAACTGCTCTGTTTCCTAGAACCATCTTGACTTCTTAGAGATCAGCTGACACTATTTATATGGGTCTTTCGTTGAAATAATTACAATATTTGCGCTGCAATTTTTTTTTTTTTGGTCGTTGTCTAGAATTTCATATCAAAAAGAATTCATTTTTGATTTTATCTCAAATAGTTGAAGTTTGAAAACTATTATATATGCGTGAAAAGTTAAACCTGATCTGAATTTCTAATAAAATTTATGTACACAACTACTAAGTTTGAAAGAATGTTAAACGTAGTTGTCCAACAAGAATAAGGGAATAAAGGAGTGACAAGAGATCAACAACTTCGATCGCAAAAAAAGAAAAAAAAAAAAAAGGAAACCACTTTGCAGGCCTTAATCGTTTATCAAATCTGGCTTGCTCTGGATAATTTGTTGAAATATAAATGATAAACAAAAAAAAGTTCATCGTTTCATAATTGATTAAGGGTTTCAAACCGGTGACGCAGTATATATATTCTTGAAGCCTAGTTGATAACCCTTTTACAGATATATTTTTGAAACAAAAAAAAGCTCCTTTATTAAACAAACACAATATCATATGCTTATACGAGTTCTTAGAGTTTTGTCATAATACTTATAATAGTTGGCCTGTGCGTGTTAATTCCTAGACTTTTCGTTTCAAACAGATTCTATTCAAATCTTGGTTATGAACCAAAATAGGTTAACATTTTCTATTCATGTTTTGTTTAAGTAATTTGATTGGCTTTTCTATAACCGGATAACAATCAATTAGTCAACCGATTGGTGAATTCTTCTGACGCTTACCCTATTAAATTGCTTAATTGGTAAATATTTTCTAACACCTAACACTATATATTTCTTAATTAGGAAGTAACCAACCAATTTTGTTCGTAATGAATGTTTATGATAATATTTGTTGTATCTTGATAGTATTAAACAATCTATACGTATGTACGTACATACATTAAATTTTTGGTCAAATCACAATAAATCTTTTGTTAAATAATACGTACGTAGGTTCAGGAGGGCTTTGACAGTTGATCAGATTGAAGATTATTTATAAATTTGCTAAATAAATAAAACCAGACTATTCGTAATGGTAAAAATGCTATCGAATGGAATAAGATGATAGGTATATATTATATAATTGATTAATAATCTTATACTTGACTAGCTTAACACGAATAAAATGAAAAAATTTTTATATTATGGTAAGATTTGAATAACTTATTTTATTACCTGATTATATAATCAATTAACCCTATATTTACAGAAAGAATTAACTTCAACAATGAAGGGTATCATTTAAAGGTAAACATCGAGTAGCTTATTTATTGATTTTTATACTCGCTAGCTAAATTAACATAAGTGAAATAAATTGAGAAGTATTATAAGTTATATCAGTAGGTATAAATATTCCATCAATACCGTACCCCACAAATCCTTTTTTTTTTATTATTATTCCCTTAAGTAACAATATCTAGGTTAAAACCTCTGGAATTTCATTAATCGTGAACAATATATTTTTTTTAAACATACCATAAGGAGCTATGTGTGCACTTGAATTTTTCTAGTTTGTAGAGATCCTCTGACGTACAATACATACCCGGGGTTTGTAATAAAAATATCCTGAGGCATTGTGTATTAACATAAACGAAGCCTCCGTTTCCGCTTGTATGTACACACATACAGATCAGGATATTTTTGCCAAATACCCCGTAATCTTGATATAGTGATCGGGTATAAGTTTTTTAGTCAGTATTTTGTTATATAATCTGATTCTTTAATCAGTACAATACGGTAATTGTTACCAAAAACAATTTCCTTAACAATTTTATCAATAATATGTTTTATTAACAACCTAAAATTATACAAGTATAAAAATCTGAAACCCAACTTTACTAATTTATTTTTAATTTTTATTTAAAAATTTATAAAATTTTGTTAATAAAAAATTTTATAATAAAATTTTAGCAGTATATTTTTTAAAATTAATAAATTCAAATTTATATACATTAGCCTTAACAATATTATACGTTTCAGGATAAAAAAAAAACTTTGTAAAGCCTAATACCGAACCCCTATTAACAAAGCTATATTTTTGTTTCTTGTGTTTAAATATATAATAATAATAATAATAATCAAAATTCTGATAATTTTTAATCTATCGTTGATATCTCATGATCTAGTGATCAAATTGATAATTTTAATACTATTCGAATTGTTTCAACAAGATTTAATTATCAAGATCTGATTACTAGATCATGAGATATCAATAATGGATCAAAATATGCGAATTTGGTAAGAAAATTGCATAATTAAACACAAAAACAAAAATGTAACTTTTTAATAATTAATAGTTATTTGCCAAATAACTGAGAGTATGATTTGATTGGCCGATTTTAAGCACCAAAGGTGCGCAAAATTCGACCGATCAGATCATATGCACAAATACCGGTAAGGTACCATAGTGTTCTAATTCTAGTAAAAAGTTATTGCGCTTTACTAGAATTAGAAACAAAATGGTACCGTAGTTATGAGTTGCTTCATGCTATAATAAACTGGCATTTATATTTTGAAAATTTATTTTTATGCACTTGAGTTACACACGGTGTCCAGATAGATTTTAAATCTGGAACGGATTTAAAATAATCCGGATAACCAAATGCTGGATAATAGTTGTTATCAGTCGAGTCTTTAGTAGATGAATAATCAGTTATCATCTATGACACACTGATAACTATAACGTAAATGTAATATCCGATAAATAGATAATGACATATAAAGGTTCGATATTAGGCTAGCTTTTATCTTGAAATATAATATTGTTAAGGCCATATATTTATTAAAATTACCTAATCATAATAAAAATTTCTCGATTTATGTTATTTTCACTATAATCTTAACTATATTATATTTCTTAACAATATTATATTTATATCTTGGTGGATTTATATCATCTAATGAATAATGTTTATATAATTCTGGTTAAACTGGCAAATCATTTGTCCAGGTCCAAACAATTTAAATCTAGTTAAATGACCTACAATTTTGACCAGATTATGGATGATAGGTTATTTTATGTTTCGCAAAACAGTGGTTAACTTTTACCAGAAAGGTTATAACCTCTAATAAAATATAATAACCGGTTTTATACCCTATCGAAGTAAGAGAGTAACGGTTATATCTGATATAGCCTCTATAAAAAATGCGCTGTCATGTAAATTATAAAACTAGATAGATATACGTCATTCTGGGTACGTACGTGGAGTAGGTTAGTGATGTCTAGGGTTGTCAAATTACCGTAATTTACGTAATTTTGTGAAATTTTGCGTAAATTTTCAGTAACATGGTTTTCATGTAATTTGTAAGAAACGTGATCATATGCTCATATGATTGGTTGGATCATATGTACATCGATTTGGTCAGTGAACTTTATGCAGAATCTACTGTAGTTCAATAATGCTAGCTGAGTTTTTCATAGTGCCAGTGCGTGTGAAATTTACATGAAATTCAAGTTACTGAAATTTACGCAAAATTACATGAAATGTAAAATTGTAATTTTTGTAATACAACCCTAGTGATGTCCAAAAAATTTTGCCTTTTCGTGTAACCCGAGCTTCCGGAATTAACTAAATTTGCCCAAAATCACCAAATATTACTAATAAACCATTAGCTAACATATTAAGTAAAATTCTCAGATTGGAATTTTGCTACGTATCATACAGATGACCAGCATTATCGCCTAGTTCAAAAAGCTCGGGTTACACGAAAAGGCAAAATTTTTTAGACATAACTTAGGGTATACGGGTATACGACATCTGAATATAACGACATCATAGTAAAATCTTTTATACGTATAGACATTTTTTTCAAAATTTTAATGTAAAATGTCGGTATATTAGTGATATGGACTGACCCTGACCCAACGGCCAGGTTGATGGGGGTCGACCCTCAGCCTGGGCCGGGCCGGTCAATACAAGAAGTGTTAGAATTGGTTCAAGCTAAGAGATTAATTAAAATTGGTTAGTCGTTTATAACAATATATATATATATATATATATATGTTCATGACTAATTTAGATGATAAATGGTAAATAACGAATATAAAATAAAGTAAGGGAAGGTGTATATATAATCAACATAAAATACGAATGTGTTATCTCTTTAATGATAGACTTTTCAGGTAAATTTGCCTGCAAAATTTATCTAACCATTAATATACATGTTTAAATGATCTAATCAAAATCATGGATGCCATCTAGAATTTTGAATTAGAGTGTCTAGAAATCTGCTTTTTTAAGCTGCTTTTGTTCGGCTATTTCTGCAAAATCTGCTTAACCAGTTACAATTGAGAAGATTGTCAATTGTTATTGGTAATTATTATAGTTATATCTATTGAGCAGAATCAGCAGAATTTCTATTTTGAATATTACAGTATTAAAACTTTAAAATCAATTATTAGTTTTAATCAAATAGATATAAATGGCACACCCAGTAACAACTTGTAATTTGACTTTTACTAGGATTATTTTACTATGTTAAAAGAAAATTAGAAGCAGATCCTAATCAGAAATAGTTAAAAGTGGTATTGGTTAAAAGCTTTTGGTGAGTATCTGTCCAGTATATTTATGGATTTGGTACGAAATCCTGAAAAACTAAATCTCGATGGTAGATTTTGACTATAATCTGAATGTAATAATCTCAAATATAATAATTCTGAGCATAACATAGATATCGTCATTTTTGAATTTATGATAGTTCATGAAATGCTATTATTCGGGATAATGTATTTACTAGATTGTGGTTCTTCGGATTATAACTATTCGGGAAATTTTTTTTTCTTCCAGGATTTAGTTTTCGGGTAAATGAATTGTCGGAATATTGTCTTGGCAATATAAAGTGTATTTTCGATAATACAATTTTTGGCCGGTACAAAACTTATCATGATAATGTATCAGTAGAAAATTATATTATCAAAATTACAATAATTCTAATTACTGAAATTTACCGATGATCATC